GATGCTTCATTGTTAAAGAAAGAAAGGTTGAGACTTGAGAGCTTATTCTCCACAGATCGACCCCTCTCATTAATACTTTCATCACTCCAGAGTTGATTCTGCCCACAAGGAGAAGGAAACTGCTTGATTATATCATCAAGGTTCTACTTATCGAAGTTTTTCCTTGTGATAGGTAAAGAGAATACAGTATCATTGTATGACAAGTGGTAGTGGTAGTGGAATAAAGTGTAGCAGCATAACTCTATTTTGTTAGAGGAGTCATTATCTTTCTTGCATCTGGATAAAACATATTGTTGATAATTCTTAGCTGCTGTATCTGTTTCTCTTTTATCCATTTCAAGAAAAATCAAAAGTATAAGTGGGTGGAATTAAAGCAATTAACACATCATGGCTCTAAGCTTTTCTTGTAGCTGTCATGGTCTTTACTTCCACAATGAGCATGAGCTAAATTATCATGAGAAGATGTTTCTGAGTATCCAAATTCCTGACATTGAGAGGATTTGTAATATAAGGTCTGACTGTGCAGTTCAGATACCTTGCCTTAACATTGGCAAGTGGGCATGTTGCTGTAAGCGTCAAAATCAGAAATATAAAAGGCTTAGATATTCTATTCTTTCGAGTGGAAACTCGCGTAACTACTGATACTTCTTGACTGGAGAAACGAGTGAGAATCTCCGACTCTGGGAGAGTAAGTAGAACCTTCTCGAAATACGTCCTCTCGAGTAATTTTAAATAGCATGTGGAGTGACCTCAAGAGGTATATCCACGATGGATTTCTACCCCAAGAAGAGTTTGAAAGACCATTTAATCCCTTTTGGATAACAAAGAGGGACACCTGACCAAGAGATTTTACTGACAACAAATGCAAATTTAGAAAAAACGAGGTACGGGAATTGTACTTTCAAAGTCTTCTATACTAGGTCGTTTTCTCATTATCATTTTTATTATTTTTGTTATCTACATGAAAAGAGAAGAATATTTATATTTCGTACCCACTGATCCCAGTTCACTGATCAACAGTTCAACAAGAGTTTGTGCTACACTGTCAAATTAAAACACTATAGCAACGCCAGGGTTTCATGGCCACTATACTCAAACACCAACACTGTACATAGTCCACAGCATCTGTTGTGAATGTCCGATACTGGTATTTGGTTGACTTTAGCCACAATGGATTATCCGATGGACCCTGAGGGAGCAACCCAAAGGCCACCAGTTTGACGGAATTCAAGGCCAAGGTAGCGTGTTTGTAGTGTCCACACAGCAGTTAAACACTAGCATCCTCACCTTTTGCCGGAATTCAAGACCAAGGTAGCGTGTTTGTAGTGTACATACATCATTCAAACACTACGATCCTCACCTCTTGCCGGAATTCAAGGCCAAGGGAGCGTGTTGGTAGTGTCCACACATAATTCAAACACTACGATCCTCACCTCTTGCCGGAATTCAAGGCCAAGGGAGCGTGTTGGTAGTGTCCACGCACCATTCAAACACTAGGATCTTCACCTCTCCTTTAGGGGTTGCCACGAGCAGCAGACACGTTTTTATGCCAGAGAGGGTAAAATGTATGGGCAGAACCTACCTCGGGGGGTTCGCTTACCACGTTCAGATATTCATATTGAGGGGTTCGCACAATAGAATTATTATTTTTGTCATTAGTTGTAAAGTATGTAATCAAAACTAGTTTTAACGTATGCTCTAATAACTCGTGACTTCCTCATCGCTTGTGGAAATCATGTTCGGATATGTCGAATGAAGAGCAAGGACGTTCAGAACCTTGTTTCTCCTATGAAAAACGTGTAGGGTTGTCATGTTCAAAACACTTCATTCCCAGAACACGTACTGAAGGGTTGTGAGGTGAATATCTCGATTTAATGTATTGATTTTACAAGATTATTTTGTGCTAAAAATAGGAAAAAAACTCATATTACAAAAAGCAGACAGAAAGAAGGTTTGATGATTCATTGACACACGATATTGAATGAAAGCTTCTTAAAATAATTGTTGAATGTTTTACGTGTATGAATTCATGTTTTCGTTTTCTTTAAAAAAGTTGAAAATCAGTATTCGTGCAAACTGTTTGAAGAAACAAAGCAGTTTATTAAATTACTTGGACTAAACATCAAGACGTAAAACTCTCAAATATATAATCAATTATTTTGATTTAAAATGACAACCACTCATCACGTCACTATATACTGTTTAAATACAGAACAAATATATTCGGTTTTTAGTGTCATACTTCATTAGTGAATTTGCTTCACATCGTGTAATGATAACATAAAATACTGAACAGTTATACTCCATTACTGAATATGTTTCACATTAATCAACTGCAATATAAACTTCTAAATTTTCACACTTTACTATACTGAAGCTACTTACGTCTTACAATAGCAACATAAAGTTCTTACATTTTACACACTTCGTTACTGAATCTGATTCACATTATTTTATAACAATATAAAGGTCTGAGCTTTTATACTCATTAATAAATATATTCTATTTTATTTAATTAATAATAGTGAAGTTTTACGTTTTTACTATCTAACTACTTAATCTGTTCCTAATCCCTTCCACTAATAATAGTATAGTAC